CAAGACAAGGACAAAATTCTTTTTCAGAGGTATTCTATTCTATTTTGGAGGTTGGTCAGTTTAAGATAGTGTGTTTTTATGGCTGTCTTAAACCTGTACGAGACAATGATAGTGACTTTGTTTTCGCATCAGAAGCTTTCTTAGTTCTTAGGCAGATTTCAGCTGTAATCTTTAGTGCAAGTTTTATTTAATGTTTTTGCAGACTGTTCACAAAGGAGAGACCAAATGTGCTATCTACAGACTGGTAAGTAGAGTACTTCATTAGAGTGAGACAGGTACACAGACTGAAACAAAGGAGGTTTTCATCTTTTTCCTCTACTTAACTTACTTGAATACACTATCTCTGAGAAGACAAAAGAATTAAGAGAATAATTTACATCGAGGAATTGCTTGGTGCATGCTCGGTTACTAAAGATAAAAATCAGAGCAATTTGTCTGCCATCTATTGTCATTGACAATGCAATTGGCAGCTCTGATTTAGACTATCAGGGAGCTGACAATTTCCATGTCCTTAGCTTTGTCTGTCTCAGTCATCTGACTAACCTTGTACAATCAATCCTAGCATCTGACAGAGGCTTGGGGCTTTGATGAAACCAAGAATATCAGCCTTGGAGTGCAAAAGAAACCATGAATATCAGCCTTGTTGGTTTGAGAAAGCAATATGAAATGATACCATCTTTTACTGCCATGGCAGTTCAGTTGTTTGTTCTTTCAGCTTCTCACCTGGCATACACTTAAGGTCCAAACAAGAACATATTAACTACAAAGCACGGCAGTGACTAAGATTGCTGTTTTCTGTTCCTCAATGGGAATGAAATTCAATGAGAATGAGGTACCTCACCTGCATCAATGCTTCTAGCAATCCTGCTAGATAAATATCTAGTAAGTATCTGTGTACTTTAATGATAGAAAAATCTGTCTTTCTGGTTTTATATTGATTTTTAATTGACCCTTAACAATCAGGATGGAAAGTGGCATGTTTGCAGGAACAGCTGGGACACTTTTTGGAAAAAGTTTAAAATTTGTGACTCCAGCTGGCTCTTCTGCATAATATAACACTGCTACCTTAAAGTAATTATTTATTTTGAGTTGCTTAAAATAGAGAAAACCAAAAGGGTATAAGAACTAGAGTTGAAACAACTAATTAAAAGGGGGATTTTCAAAATTTGTCACAACGTGGGTTATGTTTTCAGAATGTTTTTTCCCTGCAACCACTTTTTCTTGCAAGTATCTTGGGGTAACTTTGTAAGGATTCCTCAGAGAACTGATATCAGGGCAATATTGATAATGCATTTTGTCTGTCTTATAGTTCAGAAAGCCACCGAAGAGCAATATTTTATGAGGTACTGGGTAGATCTTGGATTTGCAACCATTTAGAGGCTGACCTGATAATATTAATTCCAACGCAGAAGTAAGACTACCAAAGGGTCATGGGTTTTGGGGTTTTTTGGTGGAGGGGAGGGTGTGTGGGTTTTTTAAATGCATGTATATGTTTTTTGTCAGATTATGGAATGAATTGTCCAAGACAATATGGTACTTGTTAGAAATCCAGGAATGACCTTATAGGCTGGAATACCTGGGAAACTAGTAAGACCTTTTTGCTACTTATTAATTAGCATAGTTTTGTACATAGGCAGGTACCATGATCACAATCAGATATGTTAGAAAAGGACCTTCAGTGGTAAGGCCAGAGTAAAGTTACCATAGGTCCCTAATAAACAATTTCCTAATGCAGCACTGGGAAGACTTGAAGTTGTCTTGAGAAACAGTATTGTTATATCTAGGAAATCGAGCAGCGGCTGTCATTGGTAGTGAAAATCAGGATGAATGCAAGAATTTTGAACAAAGAAACCTTACTTTTGTACTAGGAAAGTGTAACAGAAAGAAATAATTTGTCACAGCTTTTGTGAATCTGTTGTGTGGTTATGTCCCACCATGCAGTGGCTCACAGTCTTGCTTTGCACTCAAAGACACTGTGCTGCAGGCTCGTGCCAGGACACCCTTCTCTACTCCCATGTGATCACCATGTAATTCTCATGTGTGCTTTCAGTTTGCCATTGCATTCCCTTCTTATGTGACCTGATGTAGTCAACGATGTCACGTATCAGTGTTTGGATTAAGTCAGAGGTTTGTGTGTAACAGGGAGGCAAGTTTTGTAGGGAGGTCTACTGTATTTTGCTGGAGGACAGACCTGCTCCTCCTTGGCTGGGATTGCCCTGTCTTGTTCACTCTGCAGGAGGTAGGACAGAAGGTAAAATAAACCAGCCAAGACATGGGTGTGGGGAAGGCCTAGAGTAGTGGAGCAGAACCATTCAGTCTCACCAACAGCTAACACCTACCAAAGTGCTATCCAAGTAATCGGAAATCTCTATCTGCTACCACACTTAATGCTTCATGCAGTAAAATGACTGGCTAAACCTCTCCTGACCACCCACCCTTGTCCCAGTTTCACTGAGGGAAGTGATGGATACAGATTTTTTGCAACTCATGGTATGCATCATTTATGATCATGTTTGCATTGTAAATGTTGTTAACAGGTCCCTGTGACAAAGGTGAAAAGATGCTACAGACATGGTATTCCTTCCTGCTGTGTTGGCTGTCCTTGCAGCTTGAGGCTAATCCTGGTCTTAAAGTGAGGATTACTAAGAAGGGGCTGGACTATGGTATGTCTAACATTGCCAGAAGTTAATTTATGATAAATACTCTATGCACAGAATGTAGTTCCTTAATAAAGGTACAATGTAGAAACAAGCTTCTTAAATATTGAAATAGAATATTTTGTCACCTCACACCAGGAACACCCTTTGTCTCTTCTCTCACTTATTTCCTTCCTTTTTGTGCACCCCAGGTGTGAGTTTATCCTTGCGTTGCTGATTGCATTCTCCTACAGTCCAACAGTGTTTCTACTACATTCCTCATATTGATCTACTTTCTTAGAACCAGAATGAAATTGTCATGTAATTGCTCCTTTCTTAAAAGTGTCAAAAACCTGATTGGAAGTGCAATATTTAATTGACGATAATAAGACATAATTTGAAAAAAAGCTTACAATTTTGGAACAGACATGTAGCTGCATGCCTTCACTCTCATTCTTCCACTTGGTGTGGGATAGCATCTGCGTGTGCCATTCTTTCAAAAAAATCTAGTAACTGTCTGCCATAGTTCTGCCCCTTAACAGAATATCAGCAATTTCCACAATATATTTTCCTTACTCTTTCTATTCATGCTAACTTTCACTGTCTCTTACCTAAGACTTACTCCGTGGGTGTGGAGGGCACACAGTATAATTTCAATTGTTCACAGAATTAACATTAATAATAAAGGTTAACAAGGCACAAATTCAACAAAGGCTGGGTCATGCTAAGGATTAATCGTCATTTATGTACTGAACATGCTGACAGGTAAACAATGGAGTTGTGAGATGAAAAGTAGAAGCTCAGGATTTATGCCTTTGAGATGAAAGCAAGGATCAGGTCCACTTATTTCTCTGTATGAGCATTGTTTTAAAGGCTTTTGAGGAGTTGAGAAGTGCAGGGCAAACATCAGTCACCCAAAACAGAACTGATCTCCATATCTTTTTATGACACACAGGAGAAATCACTCCCTAGGGATCTCTCATGCCTTTAGAAATGAGAATTCAGCCTGGTATTTCTTAGTGTGAGCCCAGCTGTTTTTGTGACATTCAGCAAAGCCTTCAAATGCTGAACAAACAGACTAAGTTTGCACACCCCTGCCTTAGTAGTAAGAACAGACATTAACTGTGCACCTCCCAAAGGTACTTCTTGCATTTGAAGAGCATGGTGCCTGTCATGTCTTCTCCCTTAATATGAGACTTGAAGGCAGAGGCAATAGATCCTGCCTGTGTGCTTCTTGCCTGCTGCAAGAACCTTGAGAGAAATTCCACCTGGGATCACTGGCTGTCTTCACTGACAGTTGTAAGAGAGCTTTAAGTTATTTCAGCCAGAGCCCATATTTTGCTTTGGAGGCAGAAATTCCCAGGGAATCATAACTTACCTCTCCTTCATAAAAGATGCATTTTATAAAAAGGTATTCCAATGTTGAGTTATCATTGATTTCAATTCTTTTTTAATACATTGAAGTCTGGGGGACAAAAAAACAGATATTTTGTATTCAGCAACTCTGAGGCCAAAAGCTAAAGAAACTCATGCTAAAAATATCTGAAAGCAGGACATCATTCGGTATTAAAGTTTTAGCAATGTCTTCATCAAAGATGAGCAGAAAGAAGGAAGACACAAGGAATCTGGGATTTAAAGATGTTCTGTTTGTTGATGATAGGGTCTGTGTGTATTATTAATGCACAAGTAGCACTGAAGCATTCAAGAAAGTAGGGATTCCTTAAAGCAAGGAGAGACGGTAAGGAAAGAAGTCAGAGATCTGCAGCATGCTGTAATGGATAAGGTGCAGTGGCAAAACATATGTACTCAGAAAGAAACGGGAAGAAAACATTTAAAAGGATTGTCTTTAAACCTCAAACAACTTCCTGTACACAAGCAACAATCCAGATAGTTCCGCATTTGACATACCAGCATTTCAGATGCATATATTGCACTTTTTCCGTAAGTAAACACTACATATAGAAGTCATCTTGCTACTTCTTAACTGGCTTTTTCATTCAACAGGTGTGAGACAATCTGAGGTAAAGGTGATGACCAAATGTTTCCCAAGGCTTTCCACATTGTCAGTGAAGCGAAGGAAGTATAATGGTTTCAGAAACCTGACAAGAATTCTAGAATATAAAATACAACTCCCGGACGGGATGATCTTGGTTAAAGGATTTGTATGTGAGGCTAATAGAAGTTATAAAAGGGTGTATAAGTAGTTGGAAGGAGGTCTAGGTAAGGGTTTAAGAATCAGAAGTTTTCACAAACTATGTTAAAAGTGGTTAAATCATTTGGCAGTATATCTGGACCTTTGGGTGCCTGAATCCAATCTGCAAGGCATGTGCTTTCCTCTGTCCCCTTGTAGGCAGGAAGGTCGGGATGGAGCTCCTGAAGCAAGCAATATTGAAAGAGACCTTCCCAAGCTGGAGTGGGCAGGAGAGTTTCTCCGTTGTTAAAGTCAACTATGTAATTTCAAAGTAAGTAAAGGAAGTATACGTTTCAAAGTTTTAGGATGAAACATTTTATTGTATTGTTACTGCATAGTAATAATCATGCAGCCTTTTTTTTTTTTGTTCAGTGTAAAATTTTAATGGTTCATCTAACTCTGCTCCCACTGCCCAAACACTGATTTGTTTTATAAGTACTTCCTTCTACCACACTCAGAGATGAGCTTTAGAAAGCTTCTGAAGGAGCACCTTGGCTGGTTTTTTAGTTGGTTTGTCTCAGAGTTTGGGGCAAGGCAGGTGGAAGCATGGCTATGACACAGCAAGGGGAAATGGGTGGGAAAGAGGGAAGAATCAGTGTTATTAACAGTCTGCTACTATGAAGGACCTGTAGCAGTGAAATTAATTTGTTTGTGTTTGATGAGAAAAAGCCGACAAAGCGTTAAGATGAAAATGTGTGCAGGGGGACAGTGTATCTGGGCTGAGGTGGCAGGAAGATGATTTTTCCAGAATCTTTTTGGATGGATTTACAATGGTAAATCAGCATTTTGATTGTATTATACCATCCTTGCAACCTTAATCCCTGCACATCTGAGAGAGCTGTGTTTGGACAGTCCAGAGAAGAAGAGACTACGGGGTGGAGATTTGTGTGTCTTATTGCATGTCCTCCACTGTCTGCTGGATGGTGATTATAGAGAATATGGAGCCACATTCTTCCTGGATGTACACAGTGAAAGGATCATGGGCAACAGACATAAGTTACCTCAAGAAAAATTCTGATTAGAAGTTAGGAAAAAATGCTAGGGAGCACCAGAACAAGGGCCCAAAGAAGCTGGGGAATCTCCATCCTTGGAGGTGTTCAAGACTGAAGTGGGCAGGGCCCCTGAGTTGGCCCAGCTTTGAGTAGGGGGTTGAACCAGAAAATCTCCTGAGGTCCCATTCCAACCTGAATTATTATATGATCTTCAAAACCCCAATTCATTCTGCCAACTCCCATTTTCCATTCTTCAAATTGGCCGTCTTCCCAGTGGATAATCTGCTTTTAGCTCACTGCAAACAAGATTACTAAAGGCAGCCTTACTGCTGCCCAAGATGTTATTGGACAATTACGGTCATTTTCACTAAAAGTAGCTGGTGCCTTCTGCCCCGGGGAAAGTAGATTAAAGGCAGTTGTTTCAGAGATCTCTGCCAGATATCAGGAAACAATGAGGAATGTGTACTACATGATAAGATTATCGCTGATATCTTTACAATGTTCAGCTCAATTCAACACACCCATTTGCAAGACAATATCCTTGAGTATCAGAAACATTTATTTTAGGAGGGAAATCTTCAAGGAAGATTTTGTTTAGAAAAATGGATCCTCTCCAGAGCCCTTTGCTGAGGCAAGGGAGGGGATGATACAGAATGGGGAAAGAGAAACTTTGATGTTCTTCAGCAAATGCTAACATTCAGACAATATGGATTTATTTATGGATGTAGCATCTGAGTTTAACATACAGACTTATTTTCCCCCAGCAAGCACATTTCACTTTAAGGAGTTTGTTTTATTCCCAAGGGGAGGTTTTTGTTTTGGCCAAGCATCCTTTTTTCCCTGGGCAGATATCATGAATTCTTTTTCCAAGGATGCTACTAAGTGTAATGGTACAGGTGTCTTTCTTTCCTAAAATATACAAGGGTCAGTCATTTCTGAGGAATTCTTTTACCAAAGCATAGACTTTGCCTTTTATAGCAGAAGGTTTTGCGGTGATCACAAGTCCTTTTTACTCTTTTGACATGCAGCCTAATATCCCCCTTTCTGTATTCTGTAGGCTCAGAGTTAATGCTGTAGATTTCCCAGAAACCTCTGCTTCCTTTATTCCTGGCACGGGCATTAGTCTGTCAGCGGCACATGCTTCTGCTACGATCAGGGCAGACTGGAGAATGAATGCGTGGCTGCTGTAAGTATCGTACAGTGCAACGCAGGCACGGGGGACAGTTCTGGGAGAAGCATTACAAATGAAATTCAGAAATCTAGTTGGTAATTATTATTTTTCAGGTCAGATATGCTTTATCATTTAACAACAATCTATTTGAATAAACATCTTAAGAAGGAAACATCCTCTGCCAACTAATACTTTTTTTTTTTTTTTTAATTATTCTACCCCACAGGTTGTCTTTTTGGGAACTATCAGTCAGACATCTGTCAGCATGCTCAATTTGTCCAGACTGTATATTACATGATATTACATGAATATTCAAGACCAGAGTTTGCAATGGCCACATTTGTTACTTTCTTCGTACAGTATAACCGGAAGGTTGACTCTGTAGCTAATTATCTATTTGCTGGTACAGTGTATATTTTCTTCCAAGTATTCCTATTAAAGGAAGGGCACTGTCACAATGCCAAACATTCAGAACTTCGGAAACTCCAGAATTCGGGTCACTATGGGAAGCTGCCTTAGCTTCATGAGCCTGTGCAGTATGAGATTGTCTTTAATTACATGATTGCATACTGATTTTTCCACTTTTTTATCTCAGCATTTTTGCTATAGAATTTTAATATAATATTCTAGATTTTCTTGGGGGCGGGGGGAGAGCTAAAACTTCTGGGATATCAGAAAAGTTTGCAAGGTGCTAATCTCTACAATTTGGGTTAATGGAGTAACTGGTAACAGCAGTAGGCGTTGCTCTGTTTGTGAGCCAGGTAGTACAGCAAGGTGGATCACCAGGCTGCAAGTTTCACAGCATGTCCTGATTTCAGAGGAGCACGGACATGCAGTTCTGCATTCAGTCTCAGTACTGGTGGCTGGAGACTGCTGTCACTGTGCCCCCAACCTGTCTGTTGTTCCTTCCGTCATAGCAGTATTGTGAGGAAAAGGATACTGTGGTCAGCAGGGCAATTCAGCTGTTCCTAAACAAGAAACCGCCTCTCCCTCTTGCTGAAAGATAAATGCCTGGGCATAATCTGGAGAGACCCCAGATGTATAAAACTCCAAAGACTTCACAGACAGAAAGGGAGGCAGGGAGCTGGTATGCAGGATTTGGCAGGGCAGAGCAGATCGTGGTGGAGGTGGTCAAAGCCAGCTTTGGTGGAGTTTAGGGGGTGAAGGGTTTTTCTTGCCTTTTTGAGGAGCAGAAGGAACAATGTGTGCTGCTCTGTTCAATGTGATGTTTTGTGAATGGCTGTAGGTTTAGACAGATCCAGAATATGCCCTACTCTTCATCCCCTCCATTCCCTAGTCCTAGATGTTGCTTTCAGCACAGCAGACTAAGAGGGGCCAGCTGAAAATGAGCTTTCCAAGGGAGACCATTGACAACCCACCCCTCCTGGGCTGTTTCCAGGGTCAGTAACATGGGTCTTATCACAGCTTTTTAGTTGTGATAGTGTTATCCCTGCATTTCCAGCTCTCACTGTAGCCCTCCTGTCCACTTTGTCCCAGAGCACTCTGCCAGTCACAAAATCTCCTAGCAGGCCCTTTGCTCCTGGAGGCCTGGAGCTGACACCCTGCCTCAGTGAATCAGGATTCCTCCTGAAGAAGAGCAGATAGAAGGGTGCAGGAACAGAGGACCTAAGTAGCTGGGCTTCTCCCCATCTCCCAAGCAGCCCAAAAAGGGAGGAGGAGGGCTGAGATCCTTTTGTGATGGTCCTTGTCACTGAAGTATGGGTAAACCTAGGTTGGAAGGATCTCTGGAAGTCATTTTGTCCAGCCTCCTGCTCAAAACAGAGCCATTACCAGACTAAATCAGGTCAGCTGTCTAGTGGTGTTGTTTAGCCAAGGATGGTGATGCCACAGACTCTCCAAGTAACCTGTCCCAATGCTGCACAATCCTCCTTGGGAAAATGTTTTTCCTAATGGCTTGTGCGATAGGGGTTTGGTTAGGGACTGGAAAATGAAGGTCTGAAGAGTGATGCTTCCTCCAGATAGCCACTTGATGCGTGTATACAGACTGAAAGGTGGGGTTGAAAATGGTAGTGGTGGTAGGAGGGACTTTGTGACCGGTAATACTACTCACTGGTTTGGTCAGGGGTAGTCTATGGTTTGGGGCTGGGTTAAGATCTTTTGGGATTACAACCTCTTTCCCCAGGATTTTTGCTTAGCCTGAAAAATAAAGAGAAAAGCTGAGAGACTCATGATTTGAGCTTCATATTGGGCTGGGCTCTTTCTTTGTAGTGTGGTGCAGCCACTGTAGTAATGCCTGGGAAAAGAAAACGTGAGTAATCAGGATGAAGGGGTGAAAAGTGATGCTTTTGGTGCCAGTTCTGTTATGGTAAATGAGGTTTTTATAAGGCTATTCTAACATCCATTCAGCTCTCTGTATCCTGCTTGGTTGTTCTACAGCTTCTACAACTCCTAACCGTACTCCTAATACCTAAATTTGCTGGAATTTAGGCATAGGGATATTTTTGTTGGGGTCTTCAAGGGATTTTTACAGAAAGGAGATGGAATGAATGGGTTTCAGGCAGGACAAAGAATGGAGGAATGTATACTTTTTAAAGGGTCATTGAAAATTGTTACAGGAAAGAGGAAAGTGGAACAATTAAAAAGTTGAGAACCACTGGGTTATATATTTATTAGCTAACTGGCTTCTGCTGCTGCAGTCCCAGAGGCCTTCAGGGTGATCTGTCATGAAGGACTGGAATGTCTTGTGCTGCTGTGAAATTGTCACTTTTTTGCAAACTTGTCAAATCCTGCACGACACTGGAAAATTCATGTCCTGGAAACTCATGTATATAATCTGGTTTTGAATAGCATGCATGTCCCTAATCTACTTTAATCTCTAGAAAACGCATTCTTCATTCTATATGATAGAAGCAAAAAGTCCTTTCAAACTTGATTTACAGGTAGTTTCTTAAATTGTTCCCTTAAAGCAGATGTTTCCTTGACTGAGTTTGTTTTTTTTCTCTGAGCAGCAAAGACCAAGGAGGAATTACTGTGTCCATCTCAGGACTGTTTATTGCCGTTATCTTCAAAGTGTCAAGGGATAGCACAGGGCGCTTGTCCATGCTGCTACACAATTGCCAGCTGAGCATTAATAGTGTAAAAGTCAAGTTAAATGGAGGATCTAGGTATGTACAGTAGATTTTCTAATTACTCTGTGGGAAGTAGCAGGGTTTGTAGCATAAGGGCCACTTTTCAAATTTTGACTTCTAGGGATCCAGTTACAGGATACAACTAACTATTGAAGGCTATGAAAATAGATTTTTAAAGGTCTGTTTTCAAAACCAGGCTCCTTTCCTGAGTGTGTGAAGTGTGGTTAATCTACACTTCTTTGTGCATGTGCCAACAAATGAGCTGACTAAACATATTGCATATGAAAAAAATGCTATTTGGGCATATTAAAGAATACAAGATTGAAAATGGAGGTTTGCAGATATGAAGGTGGTCTAGACTGATTATGCCTTTTGACAAGCTGACCTACAATTTCAAGAATAAAACTTTAAAAAGAAAATATGAAACAATGTTTGTAGTTCTCCTCATTTTGATTTTCTAGAATTTTTTTTTTGTCTAACTCAAAGACAAAATGTGGCTAATTGAGTATTGTTTATCAACACATTAACATGAACATTCACTACTTTGCAGATTGCCTTCTAAATAACTCTTATGAGACTCAGAACTCCCAGCATTTGTCTGAGACTCACAAATTAATAAAAACAGGCAACTGCACAGTCTGCCAATATCACTGTAATCGCATCTCATTAATATAAATGACATTGATGTCCCAGTCTGCCAGATTTTATATTTCAAAGATTTCAATCCGTGGTAAAAAGTCATTGTGTTCATTTCCTTTCCTCCAGCTGGATCTACAGCTTTCTATCTGGTTATCTTGAGAAGCCCATTCACACCAAATTGGATAAAAATGTAAGTTTGCAAAGACAGTTTCAGCTAGTGAAGGGAGGAGTTGAAATACAGCCCTTACATTACTGACTTGTCTCTCTCTTCATATAGCTATGCCTAAATATCAAATACAAAATCCAAATGATGGATGCACAGCTAAGAAGGCATAAGGGTGAGTTGTTGATAACAGCTTTTTGTTAAGTAATTTTCACAGTGCTCAAATTGTAGCCTTTTTTATTAGATGGCAAACCATTCCTGTGTTCATGGTACAAAAAAAAGTGAAGGAAGAAAAATACAGCCATTGCTCTGTACCTTAACCTAATCCAGAGTCCAACCTAGAAATCTCCTGCATGCACCTTATATACAATATTCAGATTTCTTCTGTGTCCATAGCAAGTAATCTTTCAGCCTGTTGTAGCTGACCTGTGTTATTTCCTTAGATTTTTGAGATGAACATTTTTGTGCTGATCTTGGTACTGTGGACATAAGAAAACCTGAGTTAGCAGTAATCCACTAAAGAGCTAGCAAACATCCCTGTAAGATCTTGTAAACCTAGTATGTCTTGTTTTGAGCTTGAGTTCAGTGAGATGATAACAAGATGCTGCAGGAAGACAGTGTCACACTAAGCATGCTTCTCTTCACACCAGTAACAATTCCTGTGTCACTCTTGCAGAGACATGAAGATAATGGATATCTGTCCCCAAAAAGCATATATATATATATAAGATTTTCACTTCTATAATAAATCTCACAGCTTTTCTTTTTTTTTTTTTTTTTTGCTTTTTGGTTGTTGTTTTTTTCCAAGACTAACTCCCGGGCATCAAAAATGGTGCTTGATGCCTGTATTTAGGCATAAAAAAAAACTCCCAGTCTTTTTTTTTTTTTTTTTTTTTTTGCTTTTTGGTTGTTGTTTTTTTCCAAGACTAAGAATATATGTAGTTTTTGCCAATTCAAATTCATTTAATTCACTTAAGTCATATAATTCAGGTCAGACAGTTTGTTCCCACTCTTCACTTGCATTGTGGATATTTCTATTGTCTGGTCTGCTGTTCAGAAGCAGAGTAAGTAGACTTCTGTTTTTCCTAAAATGGCCTATACCTGCCATGTGCCAAGCAGTGGCAAATATTACTGAAAATCACGGTCATCAAGAACATTTTCTTATGCAGCACATACCTAAACACTTCAGGCTCAAGGGCACTCCAAGCTGTGCTGTCGTATTGAGGAGTTCATAATCCCTGTGTGAATTCACCATTTCTCTTTAAACAGATCTGTGTTGATACAGTTTTTTATACAGTATGAACAGACCGTACAGTGCAATCACAAATAACAACCAGACTGAAGTTGCATGCGAGTGCCTTTCAGAAAAAGTCTTCAATCACACTGATAAAGTGCCCTCTATTGTTGTGAACAAGCATCCCTTGTCTTCAACACTGATATGTGTAAAATGTGCTAATATGTCATCTTTCATAGTATTTAGTAGTATTTACCAGTATTTCACTAATCATATAGGAGAGTTCAGTTCTCTTGTGCAAACACGTAACAAAAAAGGGGACTCTGCCCTAGATACTCCTTCTTTCACTGCATGGGAGAGATTTCTGAGGAATGTATTCAGTTGTGAACAACAGGAGAACAAGGCCTAAACCAGGAGGAACTGGTGACTTTTCCAAAGGGAATACTCTCACTTTTTCCCTTATAACAAGTTTTTTTTTTTTTATTTTCTTCTTCATATTCATCATTTCTATAATGCCTTTGCCTTTAACTAAACAATACCTGTTTGTGATGTGTTTTTGTAATAATGGCTGTTTTGTTTTTGTCCATCATTCTTCTAGTCTTAAGCCAGATTGATGCCTTTGCACAAATAGACTATTCCCTAGTTAGTTCTCCAGCAGTCTTCAAATCACACATTAACTTGGATTTGAAGGTAATTTGTCTTTTATATCAGTGTGCTTTCTAAGACCTTTCTGATTCTCTTTTGTGTTGATTAATTTTCTTTCACTACAGTCTTACTCAGCCTCTCCAATATTTAATTAGAAAAGCAATAAGACATTTGGACATTTTGGTCAAGAGCTATTTTGGAAGTCAGATACGATTGTTTATTTAATAAATTAACTGCATTTGTTAATTAACCAAGCTATTATTTAGAATTAAATTATTTCAGAGTTGAAACCCTTCAGATGTGCTTTATAAACAGCATAAAGGTTTTCTTTAGCTACACAGGTTTTCCACTGCCGCTTGGTCTTCACCTGTTACCAGTGATACATAATCCATGATGGCTACCAATGTGATTGCAATCCAAAGCATTTATTTTGAGATGACTCAGCATCTTGTATATGCACAGGTCACATCCCAAAAAAAACCAATTCTCACAGACAGTCCTTGAGCAGCACACAGCAGTTCCTTTCTTATCTATTTTTCACCTTTGTTGGCAAGAGATATCTCAGCAACGCCCAGCTTTTCCAGCAGCTTCAACAGTCCTTGTAATTCAGAGCATCCCCATGGCTCTCCGAACTGACTTCAGTTAAGAAAGATGTGCTCAAGCTGTGGTTGGAACTCTCCCTCTTGGTTATTTTGTTCAAGTAACTTTTACCACCCACAAAAATACTCTGCAAGCAGGATATCCATAGCTTAAAAGTACTAAGCAATTATTTACCAGCTACTATAGCTAACTAAAACTTACAGGCTAAGCTTTAACATGCCAACACCCCGATGGGATACCAGACGAGTCTTTGTAAGTCAGTTATTAATCATTTAAGGAAGTTACTGGTTTTCAGTACTCCTTGGAACAGGCTGATTCTTAATGGTTATGAATTGCCATCTTCCAACTCAACTTTTTTCTTAGGGTTTTATACCTTTCCATGTCAGTATTTTTCCTGTTGAATCTTTTAGCTACTAACCATTAGTGTCAGTAATTACACTGCTTACTGTCTGTTCGTACTTTTCTTGTCTTACATTGGCCTGAGCTCACATACCCTCTCACATTTTAAAAATTATTTTCTTAGTATAACTGAACCAAGGTCCCACACCTGTGCTGAACCCAAACTAGGTCTTGGAGGACTGGCAGGTGGACCAGGGCTAAGAGTTAGGTAGTATAAAAGGCTCCTTTATGTCCCTGTCCTAAGCAACTTCCAGTGCTTTTGGGGTGTCCCTGAAGATTTTCTTGAAATGTCACCCTTAGAATTAAATTTAAAAATGTGTCTTTGCCACAAAAGAAAGAAAACTGTGGTCCACAGGAATTCTTTTTGTGTCTCATAGCTGCAGTTCAGAATACTCACTTGAATGCTCAAATTCAGACTTTGAAAGGATGGAGGCCAGATTTTCTCTGTGATTCCTCTATTTTTCCAAAAGAACTTGAATTTGCTGATTTTCAGGGCATATCACAAACTTATCTGCTTATTTCAAGTTTTCTTTAATGTCAGGCTTTTCTTCAGATTAGAAAGAACTCTTTCTGTTCAACCACTGCTAATGCATTCTGACAGATACAAATGTTTACAACTAGAAATACTTGATAATGACTCTTTGCAGGGCACAGTCTATCCAGTAGGAAATCACACAGACCCTCCCTTTGTGCCAGCTCCGTTTGCTCTCCCAAACCAGGGTGATTCCATGCTATACCTGGGAGTCTCCAGTTATTTTCTTAAGTCTGCTTCACTGGCTTACTACAGAGCAGGGGCCTTTAACATCACCATCTCCAAAGAGGTGAGTATAATTTGCATGTAATAGAATTACAAATATCAGCGTTATGGATAGTCAGCAAAGGAGACTAACACATTATGTTTGCCATTTCACAGAGATTTGGGTCACACTTCTACCACTTGTAGGAGGGATTCATGACATTCATTCTGTATGTCATCATTTAAAATGGTCAAAGTTTCCCTCAGACCTAAGTCTGAACTTCTTGGCAGCTCTAGGCAATGAATGACAGATATAAACATCACAGAGTTGGTGTGCAAGGAGTGGCAGAAAGAACCAAAAAAAGCTTTTCTCTGAATGGATTCCACATAGGAAAGGAAAGGGCAAGACAGGAAAAAGTGTACTGAAGCCACAGTCTGCTGCATAGAGGCCCACAGCAAATGTATTGGCTCTGTTGAGAACTAGAATAAACCCTCAGACTTAACAGAGCAGCAAAAGGAGGCAAGAAGCAGATACAAGGAAGCTAAGCTTTCAGCTGTGGGGAAGAACACACAAGACTTCTCTCAGAAATGTTTTTTCCACGCTGGCATTAGTAGTCAGAGTTTCCAAGAAGTTTTGGTAACCCGAACAGTGCTAAGAGGGTCTTTATAAAAATTGGTGACATAAATGGCACTGACAAACATCATCACAGTGGTCAGCAGCAAAAGGGCAAATGAGATTTTTGAGTCCTACTTCTGACAGATTCAGTATATTTCATCTAAGAAAGTCCCGAAGGCAGGAAGTGAGCAGGATGCCACGTCTGTTCTTTCAAAGAATAATGCTTGTTCACTGGTACGTGCTTCTGAAATATGTCCATGAGAAATCTGTCTCTCTTTTGTCCCACAGAGTCCTGTGGGTTCCCTAGGAATCATTCTGGGGCAAGGAAATACTAAATTAAAACCTGGATTATCTAAAACTAAAGTAAACAGGATGGGTTTTTTTTCCCAAGGAAAACCTCATCTTCAAGCTGATATAATGATCTAATTTATTTCATTTGTTTACAGCTTGCTACTACTTTTAACGTAAATACCGCCTTATTCCAAGATTTTGTTCCTGAGGTGGGTACTTTTACTTGTACAGACCTTTTAAGAAAGAGCAGTAGCTAGTGTTTCTTATGGATATTATCGGTGTACTAGCTCATTTACAAAAGTTTGGAGGAGACAAGGAAACTGAGCTGGTTTATGATTAGTGCAAGATTCAAACATACATGTCTACCCCATCATAACTCTATGTTCTTCCTAACTTTATCACACTAGTCTTTAGTCATTCTCTGCCCCTCTAAGTGCTGTATTTGCTCTCAGTCTCTGAAACAGTTATAAAGACTAAGTGGTAGACATCTGTGAGATCAGTCTCCTTTTATTCCTGTTCAGGGTAATGGTATCTCTGCTATTGGTAGCCTGACTTCTCTATGCAAAGATACCTGATTTATGACTACTCGAGATTATATACAATGGGAAGTAATAGTTATGAGTAGCTAAGTTTATAAATGTGATGCAAGAAATTAAGATACTATGAGATGCTTTAAAAATCTCTAATATGGCAACTTTTACTATAAAACTATGAAATTTGGAATCTGTGGCATTGCAAATTAAAGTTTTGTCCTCCAGGAGTTTCTCTATTTTTCAAAAGATTGGCTCTTTTGGAAGGCTGCCTCCTTTCCAACTTCTTTATATTGTCAGGGTCGTGGGTTGTTTTTTTTTTACTGGAATCACTCATTTCCCTCATTTCTTTAACGTGCAGTTAAAGAAAATACATTTTTCTTTCTTGTATTCTTGAAATACATTTTTCAGGAACAACCTTTAAATTATTTCTTTATATATGTTCAGTATCAGTGGGTCTAAAACTTCATAATTTGTTTTATGGTCTCTGAAAATCAGAGTATATGCAATGCTAATTTCATCATTTCAGTTGGTGTAATTAAAATGAAGTATTTTTAATGTAGGTTAATTAAAAAGAAGATTGGTATATAGCACCTGATTATGATGCAGCTGCAGAAACTGTAGCTTAAGAAAAGCTTAACTCTGCATTCAATGTTTTTTTCCTTTTTGAAATTCCACAGATTGCTCTGAGTTACACAACAGCATGCCCAGTGCTGCTGAAGCTGATGGCTACATCACCACCTGTGGTCAGTTTAAATGCAGACATATGCATCCTACAGATCACTGGCTGTGTAAAAGTGTTTGCTGTTCTGCCAAATTCAACCACCCAGTACATCTTTACAGGGAATCTAGTAAGTAACATGAGCTAGAAGATAACATTCAGTGCTGCAGCTGAACAAATCACACAGTAACATTCCAGATCCTTTGAAAATCATAGAGATCAGCATAAAATAGCATATACTGGTCTGCCACAAATATGCATACTGTTCTGTTGCATTTCACAGGGAAGAAACATGCACCACATATTGTAGAATTTAATAGGCAGGTGTAGAGAGCTGCTTATGAAAGCCCTTTTTTTCCATGTGGGAGGTTGAGTGATTATTCAAGAATAAATTGTAATATATAAAAATGTGATTATCTGATGCCCAGTCTTCCTAACTTGTTTGTTATAAAATAGTTCATTGTGTTCCCAGACATCTTTTCATTAGGTTGAAAGTGAACCAATTATGTCAGCCATGCAAGGACTTAAATGATCCTAATGATAAGGAGGCAATCAGGGCAGTATAATGACTTCACTCACACAATCTCAGTCGCTGGCAGAAAGCAGAAAATTCACAAATGATTTCACTATCTACATGTACTGACCAAATAAAAAGTTTAGACATTGTGTTTCCAATCAGAAAAGCAATTGCATTTGTGCCTGTATCTAAGACAGTATCTATCTGTGTATACAGTCACAGAAGACTGTTTTGTTTTTTTCCCTGCAGACAGCCAGTACCAGAGCCAATTTGACAATAACCAAACAGAAGTTGATTATCTCATTACTTCTGAAGAGGTAACCAAGGAAAATTCAGAAAGCAACATTAATGATCCCAACATTAGGACACAACAGAACTTCATTGTGTCAGCCTGACAGTGCTTGTTTCACCATGAGAAAAAGAAAATTAGTTACCTTCTTTCTTACAGGGGCTCTAAGATACTTTTGACTGTTGGTCTAAATCTTGCAGATGAAATATAATGACATTGTGAAATAACCGTATGTCTTGTGCAACACGATACTACCCCTTTCTGTAGGTTAAATACCTTTCCAGATGACAATGTTAAATTTATTGGTTATCTTAAAGGCATCTGTTTCAGTCTGTGGTGATGTTGGAGAACGAATTTCAGTAGTTTATTCAAAACCCTCTAAATGTTCCTGCCATGCCATGTCTGAGAATCATAAACAGAACTACCAGAGTGCAAACACTGCACTGGACCACTGTAACTAGCTCTTTGTGTGCCTTCACAATGAGGGGAAGGCAAAAGTGAGACTATATAGCATATACTGCAACAGCAGACACCGTGCCATCAAACAAATGAGACTAGGAGGGTGTCTGTGGTTTGAAGCAAAGCTCAGAGCTTTTTAGATTTTGCTTAGATCTTGCTGGTTTTGTGGTTATCTACAGTTACGGGTGTTATCTGCTGTCTTACAACAAATTTTATTCACACTTCAAGCTGGGCTGGGTTTACAGCCCCTTTCTCCCTAAATGCACCAGGCAGGTAGAAGCACAGACTTTCAGGCAAGTAGCCCACATTGGTGTTTCTTCTTGTTAGCTCTATACTCCAAGTTGGGGCAGAATTCCAGAATATATGATATTTTTTAACCTATTACATTTTCATTAAAGAAAAATGTGAGCAGCTTTTTCTTAGTTTTGGTCACTGGACCTTTTTAACAGGAAAAAAGGAGTTAGAGTGATCAGAGCCTGCCAGTGTAAGTTTAAGAACTAATGGTGCCACTCACTTAGAGCTTTTGACACAAGAATGTGTTCTGTTCTTCAAAATGTTGCTTTGCCCCAGGATTATATTTACAGTGATCTGAGGATGCATTACAGGCATCAGTGGAAAAAGTTAGGAAGTCATAATGGTTAGGAATGGCTATGAGTTTATTCAAATCATAATGAACAATGTGTAGTTCAGCCATTACAGGAAATGGCAATTCCAGAAAAAAATTATTTCCCAAGTCTTATAGTCACAGCCCAGGACTACACATGACTGTAGGAGGAGATTAGTATCAGAAAGATCCCAGTGATTATAGAATTCATTTGTAGTTGTGCCAGTTTTGATTAAAAGCTGTTGGGGATCAAAGAGTCTTTGGCAAAGTTAAATGTGTGAATCAGCATGAAATCAGTATGAAATTCCACAAATGAATCTTCAAGCAGTGTGCATAACTTTCTAGTGAATGCTCTTCTTTTACTTATTTTCCTCAGGTTCCAGTTCTCCCTGCTGCACTCCACTCTTGGCTTCTCTGAGGTAAGTTGATGGTTTCAGTACCTAGGAAAGGTAGCTGAGACCTTCAGAGAGAAAAGAAATTCATCTGAACATGTTGCTGGACAATTCTTGGTCTGTCTTGGGGATATCATCTGCCACTGCTCTTTCTGCTTTGAAATAGTATATTCTCTGCTTCACTTTTTCTTTCTAGTAAGAGGAATACCTCTTGAAGTGTTGTTTTTTTTTTCTCATCAGAGGTTCGAAATGTTGTGGAGTTATTACCGTGTAACATTTATTGAAACAAAGAGAAATGTCTGCCTGGGTCTGCATGACCTAGCAAGCTGTCATAGTTGATTCTGCTCACTTCTGTATCCAGCAGCACAATGGCAGGCATGGGGCTAGCACCTCTTCTAGCAGCCAGCCTGAATTCACAGCTGGATTGAGTAGGCGTCACAGTTGGAGTGAATACAAAATCAGGCTTAAGCTCAGTTTCAGGAATTATCTTGAATGACTTCAACCAAATATCATAAAAGGGGGTTCAAAAATAGGGAATAAAAGAAACACCATGCCACTGCTTAGATCATTCAGTGTAGACTGAGAAATGGTCAGTGCGAGTCTGCAGCAGCTCAGCCCAGCCTACATCTTTAAGTGAAGGAAGGAGGACACTAATCACAGTGACATAAGACAGAGCACAAGGACAGGGTGGTTCTTGCCACCCAGCGAACAGTTCACTTCTGAGAACTGAGTCCTGGCAGCTGAAATGGGCTTGAACAGATTTCATTCCTAAAGTTAAGGTTCAACCCAGATGCTTAACATAGAGGAAAAAAAAGACTTCAATTTAACTTATTTTGAGAAAAATTGACACCTCTTTGGCATGTATATTTTACATTGTTCAGCTGCAACCTAAACCAAAAGAGATCTTTTTTACCTGAGATTTTCTCTGTTCTGAGCTTTTTGCATGTCATTCCAATTCTAACCCTTCATCTCCCCCATCAAGCTGCAATCCCACCGGCATCAGGCAATAATCACCAAATATGTTTTCCCCCTCACAGCAGACGTCACTGGTGGAGAACTTTCTGTCTTATGCTTTACGGAGTGCAGTGATCCCAGTAATCAATGGTAAGGATTATGGCCAGTTCCTGAGCACAATTGGTGGGAAAGCAAGACTGAAACCATAAAAGAGAGTGTCCAGCTTTAAAGACTGTGTTATAGGAGGTTTTCTGTCCATTTTGCTACACTTGGACAAGTCTACTCTGTGCTGGACTTCAGTCCTGGTCCCTCAGTCACCTGGATCAGGGGCTGGGACAGACCAAGTCTTGGCTCCCTTACAAACACTGGGCTTGGGTTTCCTTTTCACTGGATGCAGTGTGGCAGCAGAGCTGAGACATACTCGAGTCTTGTCCTGACACAGAATCAAACCACGACCAGCGAATGGCCCAGACTGGGGAAGCACAGAAGTACACTTCCATCCTGGGGCTTAGGGGTAGCATCTCTAACTTTATCACCTCCCTCTACCTTTGTGCTTCACCTGCTGCCACAGGCAGGACAAAGTAGAAAATCATCACAGTGGGTTGCAGAGAGTAAGGGATGATGAAGAAAGAGGTGAAGGTGGAAAGAAGCAGATGGAAGAGTACAGAAGGTGCCTATGAGGTAAACAGAGGTGAGGATACTGCTGAGGAAGGAAGTGAGCTATTGATGAGGAGAAAGGAATGAAAGGGAGGGATGCAAAAGTCAGATGTTTGGAAAAGCAAATAGCAATAGAGCTGGGGCTTGATCCAGAAAAGCAGGGATAGATGAGAATAAGAGGGACCAACAGGATTAGAAGATCCGGTAGGGAAGAAAATGAATGGAAGACAGAGAATAAGTCAGAGTGGGAAAAAGCAGAAACCAGATCTTGTGGGGCAGATATCTGGAGAGGAGCAAAGGCAGTCAGATCCCAGTGTCAGACAGCTGAGAGATTGTAAGAGCCTTGTATGCAACTTTTTCACAGGATTTTTTGCTTTTTAGCAAATATGAATAATGGCTCCCTTGAGAGGCACAAGGACAGCTGATTAAAGGGAAATTGCTAGAAGAAATTGAGGTCCTTGAGAAAGATGCTTCTGAAGTGTATTTTATTATGACATTCAAATGTATTTATATTTGTCCTTTCTAAAGATAAACTAGGAAAAGGATTTCCTCTTTTTAACTTGGCCCGCACTACCCTGACTGGACCTGTAATAAAAATGAATCAGGTAAGAAGCCTGATTTCTTGTTAAAGAATATTGCTTCTTTTTCAGGCCTGCACATTTGTGTGTGTTCCAGAGTTGGGTAGATCTAAATGTTGCTAATAGTAAAGCTTTAACTATACACTAGATATAAAATCCAAACTCTGGATCAAGAATGAGCCCTCCACCCCCCCACCTCTAGCAGTTGTAGGTTATAAAGGGTCCCTTTGCCCTTTGGGGTATGCCAGCATGGGGACAACACAAGGACAGCTCTGCTATCCCCAGCAGGCCTTAGGAGCACTGAGTGTGTGGCCTCACTATGACCATTCTTTAGGAAGGCTCATAAGCAACCTGAGTGTCTCTGTGGTAAGTGTTACTCAGCCTTTTGGAGGTTGTATTAATTTACATCAGAGCCCATTCCTAACATAAAGTTAACTACAGTTCAGGAGGCATAAAGCCACTCTTGTCTCCTGCCCTGCTGAGGGGCTTACCATGAGATCTCGTCCCAGAGTACTGACCCTGAATATGTCCGTCTGAAATTTAAGGTAATTTTACATGTTCTTCTTTCCTCAGGGTCATCTGGTGATTTCTGCTGATGTTCGCTACAAACATAAAGAAGGGGGAGATGAGGACCTTCACAGTCACTCCTAATTAAACAACAATAAGAGGAAAATGTTGTCTTCCTTCTATTGGCTTGTAGGGAGTAGATGCTATAACATTAGAAGCATGGCTTTTCATCACTATTTTTAATGTTTTAGTAAAACTTCTTAATCACTTTTCACAAACTGAATCTGTTGGGTTTTAGTACAGTGAGTGTAGCTGACAAACTTGCCAAGAGTGCACCCTGCCCATCATCCAGGTGGCATTAAAAAGTATTGGTCACAGTACGGATTCCTGTGGGACCTCCACTAGTTAGTGGACTTTGCTGATCACAGCTCTTTGATTCTGGCAGTCCAGCCAATTTTCCACCTACCTCTCCAGCCCATATGTCACCAACTTGGTGATGAGACTAAGGGAGACTGTCAAAGGCCTTGCTGAAATCAAGGTATAGAACATCCACTGCCCTCCCCTTGTCCACAGTACCAGTCAGCTCAACACAGAAAGGTTGGTGAGGAATGGTCTGCCCTTGGAAAACCCATGCTGGCTGCCCCCAGTCACCTTATTATCCTTCATGTGCTTTAGAAATGGCTTCTAAGACGTTTTGCTCCATAACCTTCCCAGGGACTGAGGTGAGATTGACTTCTCTGGATCATCCTCCTTGACCTTGAAGACAAGTGTGATGTCTGCCTTTTTCCAGTCATGAGGAACCTCTCTCAAGTGCCATGACTTTTTGAAGGTTATAGACAGCAGCTTCACAATGAGATCAGCCAGGCAGAACCTTCAGCACCTCCAGATGCATCCTGTCCAGTCCCATGGATTTGCATATGTCCAAGTGGGTTAAGTGATCCTGAACTCTGTCTTCCTCTGCTGTGGGTGCTGCCTCACTCCCACAGACTCTGCTAAGAGCTCAGCGACCTGGGAGGCCAGAGGACAGGTCTTGCTAGTAAAAATGGCCTTTTCTATGTCTCTTGTCACTAGTTCCCCAGCCCACTGAGCAATAAGACTACATTCTCCTTGGCCTTCCTTTTGCTATCGATGTACTTACAGAAACCTTTACTGTTGCCCTTCACCTCCCAAACTAATTTCAGCTGCAACTGAACTTTGGCTTTCCTGACTTCATTCCTACATGTGCAAGTAATATCTTTGTGCTCCTCCCAAGTAGCTGGTCTCAGTTTCCATCTTCTGTATGCTTCCTTTTTGTGTTTGAGTTCACTCAGGAGCACCATGTTCATCCATGCTGGCCTTCTGCCACAGTTGCTCAACTGTCTGAACATTGTAAAGGATCGTTCTTATGCTCTGAGGCGGCTGCCCTTGAAGATTAGCCAGCTTTTCTGGGCCTCTGCTCTCCAGGGCAATTTCCCACAGATCCTGCCAAGCAGGTCCCTGAAATCTGCTCATCTGAAGTCCATGGTTGTAATTCTGTTCTTTGTCTTGTTCGCTCCTCCCAGGATCTGAAACTCCACAGTCTCACGCTCACTGCAGCCAAGGCTGCCCTTGGCCTTTATGTCATCCAGCAGTTCTTCCTTGTTTCTGAGTAGCTGCAGCTCTTCAAGGGTATCAATCTCCAGATAATTCTGTACTTCCCATATTTGTAAAATGGAACTGGAAGCTTTCTTATGTCTTATGTCAGTGTCACCAGAGACATACAACCAGGAGATATTAAAAGTGTATGGAAAGGAAAACTAGCCTACAAATGTCACACTACAGAAAGTTCAGTTCCAACTTGGGACAGAAATGTGGCTTGTATTTGATTTTTAGCTGAATCAGTTTATTTAGCTAGCTAGCTGCTACGGTTTTTTACTAAAAAAAGCATCCTAAACCCAAAGAGCAGTAAATCACAGCAGGGCTTCCAATTCTTTGTACCCTGTCGTTCGTGAAAAGTGACTAGAAAAAGAATGGAAGAAGAAGAACTCAAAAGAAATGGAGATTTTTAAATAGTTTGGTGTCCCTCATTGGTAACACTTCAGGCACTTTCTTCTGCCTATTTGGGAGACAATTCATGAGATGGGGAAAAAAAGAACTAAAGCCCTGGTGCCCATCTTTTCTCTCTTCCAATGGGACACGACCAAAAAGTGCCATGGTTAGATGGGCCTTTTCAAATCAGAGCCATGGCTTAGCACAGTGCTGCCCATTAAGCTCTAGTCCTCTGGCTGTTGTTCACAAACAAAGCAATTGTTTCTCCTAGGACTAAAGAGGATACTGTATACACCAACAGTTCCCCTGTATCATCCTATACTTACCTACTGGTCAGTATACCATTTTTGATCTGGTATTATTTCCCAGTTGACAGAAGAATGGAAATGATGCATGTCCCTCAGACTAGAGCACATGGAGAAAGGGGAGAATTGGGGAGGCTGAGAATTGGGGAGGCGGGGAAAGGGGACTGCTAGAACACTGAACCAGAGGCAACAACTGGAATGCAAAGCCAAAGTCATTTGCAGAGATGCAGCAACAAGTCTCCATTGATTGCCGTACTGATAAGCTCATATTAGGTAAAAAGGATCACAATCCATATCCCCTTTAGCATATAGATTGAAGCAAATGCTTGGTGGCTCAACAGAGAAAACTGAAATAAAACATTCCTTTCAGAGGCTCTTTGTAACACCTTGAAAGGTGAAAAGTTTGGGTGTAGAAACTACAGCATATCTGAATGTGCTATCTGAATGTGTCTGCAAGCAGACATTTGGCTTTCACTGCTATATTTTTAGAAAGAAATGATGAAACTGTTCTGGAAGTCTTAGTCTGTCTTTGTTAACTTTTGCTGAAAGTTTCACTGGGTGGTACTCCATTAGAAGAACCATAAAATGTTAAAAGGATATGATGAGGATAAGCTGAGATAGTTTTCAGACAATTCAGTTGTTTGTAAATCTTGGAGATCTATATGGATGGAAACAGTGGAGCTTTTCCCTTGCTTTGAAGGAACTGCAGAACTTGTGCAAAAAAATTAAAGGAGAGGGTTATGTAACTGAGGGTGTGATTTTTATTCATCCTCCGTTGCCAGAGATATAAATAATGAAATTATTATGCACGTGACTCCCTGCGGTGAATGTTAAATCTGTGTAAAGTATGAGTATTTGTTGACTGACTGACAAATGTCTCTACCCTTTTCTATTCATGGATTGCACAATGAAGTGACTCAGATTGTCCAGCAAAGCGCTCCATGCCTGAGGGAATTTGCTTGGTTTACATGCAAGCTAACTGATTAAATCACCTCTTCGACAAGCCAAGTAGTACTGGTTAGCTGAAGTACTGATTAACTGGTTAAGCAAGCAGAAGAAATAGAAAATATTGACTGCAAGGACTTGATACTATGTATTTGCACCATACATATACACTATAGTATATATATACTATAATATAAATATACTATATAATTTATGGTTTTATGTATCTTGAGCACTTTCAGAACAGATGGGCCTAGACAGTTGTTTTCCATCTGTTCTTCATAGCAATGGCACATTCATTTATTTCTTTCACCATACAGACCTGGCTATGAGTATCAGTCCTGTGGAACTACTGGAATAGTCTCCACTGGGGTTTCCTCTCAGGTCCACCTGAAAAGTCAGTGCCGAAACGGTATGCCACAAAGGCAGCATATCACCCCGAGCTCAGCATCCCGGCGCCTCAGCACCCCCACCCAACAGTTTACATTGCCCTCTGCTTAGTCCCTAAATGAAATTAGAGTGATAGATTTAACCTGGGACACCCAAAATAGTTCAGGACGTGATTACTGGAGAGGCCGCTCCCTGCGTGATACTGCTGAAGATGGCAGCAATTGGCTCTCTTCAAGCTCACAGCTCTTTCCTTTAAAAGACGGGGTCGTGGCTGCAGAGGGTTTTCCCTGCAGCATCCTCAGCCCTGTGGTCTGGTACAGCAAGGGTCTTCTCTTCAGCCTTCGGAGGAGAGGTATGGTAATGAATACGTTGTGATTACTCTTTGTTGTGGAGTGGCTTTGTTGGGAAGAGACAGATGTAGCTACATCTGCCTAAATTTTGAGATTTTAAGTTATAAGAACTATGCCTATGTCAAAGACGCATTTCCTTCCAGTACTTTTTGTTCTACACACGAAGCGTGTTTCTTTTACCTCTCAATTTCTGTCAGTTAAAATTAAAAAGAAAATATTAGTCATACTAAAAGGCAAAGGTGTTCTGTGGGATTACCTCAAACTGTCTGTTACACAAAAATTAAGTCAATGTTATGTCATAATTTTGCAGTTTGCTTAAATTGTGATATGGCTGAAAATATTTTAGATGTCTGAGATGTATTATTACCTCTGATAATGAAAGAGCTAGTGAAAGATGCAACAACATCCAAACAATTTTTCAGGTATTGGGAGAGAGACAATTGTCTGTTTCTAGATGGTTTCACCCCAGCTCTCCAACAGCCCTGTAGTAACTAAAGAAATTTTTTACATAAACATAGTGCTAGAAAAGACACTCTCATGTATTTTCAGCTGTCCATAATGCAGTGTAGTAGCTGGGAATAAGGAAAACCATAATAATGTGACCTGTTTGCCATTCACAGTGTCAACCTCAGACAACAGATAACTCCACAGAGGACTGTTCCCAGCTCTGGAGAAAAAAAACCAAAACCGTTCTCTGATTTTGTCCAGTTTGGTTTTAAAATTCTCCATCAAGGTGGCTTCTCCCACTCTCACTGGGAGACCTTGCTGGCAGCAACAGCTTCTGACTTTCACACTACATGCAGCCCGTGGTTCATACAGCATAGCTCCCTCTCAATTTAAATCCAGTCACAGAAGCCCTTGGGATGGGCATTTTCTTCACTCATTCACTACCCCTGTGGTAAATCCTGTAGCGCCACCAAGAACTACTGTGTGACGCGCATGAGAGGGCAGGGAGAGCCAAGTGATCATCCACTGCAGAGCCCACCAAGTACAGGGGAAATGCTGGGACATGATCGTGGGTTAGCTAGTTAGCCACGATTAGTGGTGGCACCCATACATTTTCTTTTCTGCTTGTTTTTTGGGGCTGTTTTGTCTTTTTTGGGGGGGAGTGGGCACGCATGCTGTTGGTTTTTTTCATACCATCAAA